ACTATGTCAATTTTGTTGCACATGTCTCGATTACACAAGAACTAAAATCATATGAGGTTACTAAGAAGGACAGTAGGTGGATTGAAGCTATGTAAGCCGAACTAGCTGCGCTAGAAAAAAATAAAACGTGGGAACTAACCTTGCTGCCTGAAGGAAAAAAGGCAATTGACTCAAAATGGGGTGTACAAAATCAAACACAACCCACATGGAACAATAGATAAATACAAGGCGAGGCTTGTCGCCAAGTGCTACAGCCAAGAATTTGGAATCGACCACCACGATAATTTTTCACCGGTAGCCAAAATGGTAACTGTCTGATTACTTCTTGCCATAGCGGCTGCAAATAGTTGGCCTGTCCAGCAATTAGATATAAATAATGCATATCTATATGACTACATAGAGGAAGAACTATACCTAAAACCTTTAGAGGGCTACACTAAAGCAAGCAAAGGACAAGTCTGTCGCTTAACCAAAAGTCTATACGGGTTAAAGCAAGCTAGACGCCAATGGAATAAAGAGCTCACTTCAAAACTTCATTCCATTGGGTTTACCAAATCTGAAGCAGACCATTGTTTATGTACAAAATGAAGTAAAGAAAATTACATTGTAATAGTCGTTTATGTCGATGACGTACTTATCACAGGGCAAGATGAGAAAGAAATCAGCAAAATCAAAAGAGTGTTGAATGAGGCATTTATAGCGAAAGATCTGGAAAAAGCACGATACTTCCTCGTCATTGAAATAGTTAGGTCAAAAGGGGAAATTTACATCAGTCAACGAAAATATATTAGACATACTACAAGATACATGCATGCAAGAGATAAAAGGAAGTCATTTCCCTTTACCAATAGGATTGAAATTAAATAGCAAGAGGGTGAAATCTTACTGAACCCAGAAAAATATAGACACTTGATTGGAAGGCTGCTTTATCTCAACTTCACCAGACTGGACATCTCATACTCCACTCAATACTTGAGCCAATTCATGCAACAACCCAAGAAGCCGCATTTAGACGCCGCACTCCATCTTGTCAGATACTTAAAACAGTACCCAGAGCAATGCTTGTATTTTTCAAAGGAGAACAACTACAAGATTCGGGCTTTTTGCGACTCGGACTTGGCATCATGCCCGATGACTCGTAAATCCACCATGGGTTTTTGCATTTTTCTTGGGCCATTGATGATATCCTAAAAAATAAAAAAACAAACGACAATCAGTAAATCATCCGCAAAAGCCGAATATAGAAGCATGTCTTCAACTGTGTGCGAGCTACAATGGATTACCTATCTACTCAAGGACTTCATGGTCACGCCTTCTTTACCTACCATATTAGACTGTGATAACAAAGCCGCAGAGCACATCACGGCAAATCCTGTGTTTCACGAAGAACAAAACACCTCGACATAGATTGTCATATTGTTCGCAACAAAGTCTTAAGTGGTTTTGTCAAAATAGAGCATGTTACCTTGAAAGAGTAACTCACAGACCTACTCACAAAACCACTAGGCACAACAGCCCACCATCATCTTCTTTTCAAGATGAAACACTTCTAAGACAGATTTAAACATGGATCGATTTGAAGAGAACGAGAGTTCAGAGAAATAGAACTACAAGCGTGTTTCAACTTGAGGAGTGGCTGTAAAAGATTAAAAAGTTTCCTGCTAGGGTTTTGAAGCAAATGAACGATCGAGATCAAAAACAGAAAATGAAGGGCTAGATGAAGAGCACGCTGGGATTCAAGACAAGTGGACGGTAGAAATTAAAAGATGCCATCTATTGAGGACAGCTGTAAAAAGTAGGTTATGGAATTTTTTTTTTGTTTTTGGATTGTTGAGTATTTGTTAGGGTTTGTTTCTCTTTTCTCGATCAAAACATTCTTCTTTCTCTGTATGTATATAAATGCACATCTGTAGATAATAAAGACAAATAAAAATATTATAAAACCCTTTTTCTACTACCGTCTCTACAATATGATTAACTAATGCTACATAATAATTTACAAATAACATTACTGATCTTAGTTTCAATTATAAGTTATTATTGTTCCCTATGCTATTATTACTGCATGGCTAAACTAATTTCATTTAATTTAATCACGATACAGTTTAAATTATTCTTTTGCATAATCATATTTACATTATTACAATCCTATTTTCTAGCATTAAGTTCTTTAAATAGTAACATATGACTAAAAAGTTAATAATACTAATGTTAATATGGTAAGCTCAGCTCAAGCATATAAGATATTTCATAGGCAAAAAAATTATTTTGATTGATAAATTTTTTAAATCTAATAAATAGGCTTCTCATCGAATATACACATGAATTCATAGCACCTGTAATACCCGGGTCCAAAATTTGATATGAGATTAATTTTAAAATTAAAAAAATATATAAAAATATAATTTTTAAATTTATAAATTTTTACTTAATTTAAAATTAGGAAAAATAGGTGGAAGATGAAATTGAAAATAATTCTGAAAAAAATGGGTGAAATTTTGGGTTATAGGGATATTTTTAAAAGAAAAATTAGAAACTTGAGATCAAAACGTAATAAAAAAAAATTGCACCACGTAGGACCGCCCAGTCAACATCTCCAACGAACTGGAATGCGTCGCATGGGAGGCCACGCTAACTCGGTGCCACGCGGGAGGCCACGCTGGCAATCCGCATGCCCGCGATCAAACAGCTCAGATGCGTTCTCACGTACATGGACAGTCTGGATCCGTTCTCTCCTTAGGCACGATCGGACGGTCGTGATTAAATACGATAAACGGCTCAGATTCGTTTCTCTTTAAACGTGATCATACGGTCGAGATTAAATCGCGATAAATGATCCAGATTCATTTCTTCTTTAAACGCGATTGGACGGTCAAGATCAAACGCGATGAACGGTCCAGATTTAAGGAAGACGAATATAAATATATCACATCACACCAAACCCAAATTCTAGCCACAAGCACCCCACCAGAAAAGAATAACCAGTCGCAAGAGAAGGGAGCCGACTGCCGACTGCCGCCCGCCGCTACGCCGGAGCCACCTCCGATCGCCAAAAAAAAGTAAAAATTCTCCTATTCACTCAAAATTTTATTTCAATCACCCCATGGCTAAATTCGAGCAAAAGGAACAACGGATGAGCCTAAAACTGCGAGTAAAGTCCGGCGCTGCTGCCGCGGGCAAAACCAAAAATTACATCCGATGAGCCCCTTCCTGATTCACGTTTCGTGCAATTTTTTCACTATTGTGTTCACCATTATATTTTTTACAGGTTGACTGAAGAAAAACTCCTAGTCGCGAATGTGAACCGGCGAAGCTGCCGCACCAAAAAATTTCACCACCAGTAAGTTTTTGTTTTTCGATTTTTTTTGGTCAAGCGAGACCTCCTAACGTGTTTTCTCACAGGGATGAGTATAAAACCAGCCGTCGCCAGAGCACGGCGGTGCCATTGTGCCGAAATTTTAAAATTTGTCGAAAAATATTTTTAACACCGATTTTGAGTCCTTTTTTTTGTATTTTTAGGTACGTGAAACGTGTTTCAATCTTCGCATGAATATTTAGGAAATACCGATTCAGGTAAAAATCTCTCACCTTATTTCCTATTATAGAATTAAAGTTTAATTATTAATAATATGATATTTTGCATAATTTAGAAAGCTCGAGAATTAATTACAGGTTACTAATGGAGTCAGAACTGGTTACTTATTATTGTTTATCATGTTTAACCGATTATTTAATTTTACAGCTTTAAATGTATGATAACACACTGAAATTGGTAAAATGATTCAGTTGTATTTCCTTAATGCATTTATTATTTATTTTGTGTTGATTTACGGTTAAATTGTGAAACTGAAAATTAAATGTAAACGAAAAATTGATTGACTAAGTGAATGAATGAATGAATGATTGCCTTACTGGATATCTTAGAAAATGGTAGACAGACTAGGTACATAGGGAACCGTACCGTGAACATCGGCTCATACTGAACGGGGTATCGATGATTGATATTTTTGGCGCTCATATCGGACGGGGTATGAGAATGACCTGTTTCATCCTCATACCGGACGGGGTATTGATGGATAATATTCTTAGCGCTCACATCGGACGTGGTATAGGGACGGCCGGTTAGTTAACAATGTTGAATAATGGTTTACGTGCAGTGGGACACTCCTATAGACCCCCATGGATACCAATAGGCAAATAAAAATTAAAGTTTGTTATTCTTGCTTACTTGAAAATGGGATTAGAATGCTATTTGAATTATTGTTTCTATGGATCGGTTTTGAAAATCTCGCAACGGTAAGTATGCAATAAATAATTTTACTTATGATAAATGAATTTACTTAAATTAAGAGGTTCATTGGTTGTTTTTATTATTTTTACCAACCTTTATTTTCTGTATCGGTGAGTAGTGGGATATTCTTAATATGGTAGTATAGCTCACCATTTTATTAATTATTTCAGATCTAGATGATCAAGACCCAGATCCCGATCAACAAGAGGGTTGTGAATAGTTCACAACTCGTACTCCTTTAAAAGTTAGTGAAAGTCGTCTTAAAATGTTTAGTTGTTTATTTTTCGTTTATTTCCTTAATCTTCGTTTGTTTTTTTAGAATGAATATTTTCGTAATCCTATTGGGCATTTTAAATTATGTGTAAAAAATATAAACCCTAAACTCTATTGTTTTACTTCTGTATTTAATTTATATTTTTATCTCATTTTTAATTCTGCACGTTACAACACCATTCAAACCTTCTCTACTCCATTTTCAAGATTATTTAAGAATTGATTGAAAAGATAAGAAAGACAAGAGCAAAGGAGAAAAGGATGCCATTATTTTTCATTATGCGATCTTATACAAAACCAACATTCCTCGAAAAGAAAAACACAAATTACGTTTAAACTAGGGTTTCTCCTCCACTATTCGAGGAAACTAAAATAAAATTTTTTGCATGTGCTCAGCTTACATTATTGGATCAGTGAACAAAGCATAAACAAGACATTCCCAGAGTGCAGTGATTCTGCTTCCACAATTACATAGCAATAAAATTCTTGTGCCTGTATTCATTTCAGTATACATTATTGAATTACTGAATAAAGCATACATTAAACGAGACAATATTGCGACAGTGCAGTGACTTTGTTGTCCACACTGATTATGATCAAAGGAAATGAAATTAGTCAAATGGATGATGGAATCAAGTAGCAATATATATATATATATTATGTGTATATCCCTTTCGTGGATGCAGATCAAAGGCAACATCCATTATACAGTATGGGCGATCAGAGTATTTTAGTCTTTCTTCTGTAATTCTATCCTTCAAGAATTCCTAGTTTCCCCAGTGAAGTTCTTATGCAGTTGGTGTCACACTTTTCAGCTTCAATGACATTGAAGCTATCAAATGGCATGATATCTTCTAGCGGATAGTTTCTGTTAGCATGGAGCTTAAGAGAGCTGGTGCCAAGTCCCTTTATCATAACTGTTTTATGGATCCCACCAAGCAAGCCTTCAAAATCTGTGTCTCCACATTCTCCCACAAAAGCCACAACACTTGATAGGTCTATTCCCCACCGGACAAACAGATACCTGAAGAAGATTTGCAAGTATTTAGTTATTTATCTGGAGTGAGAATATTTGGATTGACTTACCATTTTTGGTGTTTTAAATATGTACAACTTCTAATTTCAAATCACTCAAAGCCTTTAAGCTCATAGTGCATTTGATACCCAACTTTTTAATTTTTTTTCTAGCTTTAACATTCTGATAAACTATTAAGTGTTTGATAAAATTAGAGTTTTTAACTTAAAACTCATAGCTGCTCTTTTAATTTAAAAGAATCTAAGTACTATATTTTATTTTGATAATGGCTATCTTGGTAATAAAAAAATTGATTAAAAGAGCTTTTAGTTTTTCAGAAGTTTTTCTTTTAAAAAGCTGGTCTTAGAGCCTTTTATTTTGAATTACACCTTTTAGCAAGGATTATCCAGACACTTAAGCATCTTCAATTACAAAGTGAACCAACCCAGACATCCTCGGGATCTTAGAGCTGACCAAATATTGTAACAGTATAGAGAATATGAAATGTAAGATTAATCTATTGTTATAATTAGAGTGAGTACCTGAGGGCTTGAGATCGAGAAGCCAACACCGGGATCACATTCAACTTGGAGCCATTTGACAATAAA